AGCCAGCTCACTTCTCTGTACTGAGTGTGAATTCAAAAAAATCCTGAAGAAAAGACAGCATTCATGTGCGTCTCATGGGGCCAGTGGCCCTGGGCCCTGCGTAATGTTGGGAGCGGGCAGTATGGGCACCCTCCTGTGACAGATGAGGATACCGAGGACACAGCTAGTACACAGTGAAGCTGGGGTTTGGACCCAGACCAAATAACTCCAGAATCATCACCTCATACTGTACCAGTAGAGTATGTAAAAACGTTTCTAATTTTTAAAAAATTATTTTAAGTGATTAGAAATACAATAATAACCTCAGTTCACAAACACTTCAACAAGAATTTGCTTCTATTCACAAACTCCACACTGGATGACAAACACAACTTTAGCCATCTTCCCCACACAAACACAAACATGGCCGTCTTCCCCAAAATCATAAAATAAATTAAGTTTGTGAACCGAGGTACCACTGTTCTATGCATGAGTTACGTTAATGACAACACCAATAATAATGCTAAACTTTTCAAGTGAGGTTTATTTTTTTGATGGAATTTCCTTTTTTAAAATTAATTTTTATTGATACATTTTAGATATACATATTGATAACATTCACCATATGGAATTTGTACCTGTACAGGATATATCTTTTTTTTTTTTGGTTTTTCTCCGGTACCGGGAACCGAACTCACGACCTTGCGCTTGCCAGGCAGGCGCTTTGCCGCTGAGCTAAATCCCCAGCCCCCAGGATATATCTTGATTCTTCTTTTTTTCCCAACCCCCCCACCCTTCAACCACTCTTCTCCTCCTTATTACAAAGGTTTTGTTTCCATTTTTTCCTTTTTCCTTTTCCCTTCCTTCCTCCCTCCACCAGTCCCCCTTCCCATTTGAATGTTTCCTTCCTATTTCACAATATCTGTTACACATTTTGGTCCGTCCTTACACTGTTTCTCACACTAGAGAAACCATTCAGTGTTTGAACATATGTGTCTGATTTATGTGACTTAAGACTATATGGTCTCAAGGTGCATCCATTTACCTAGAAATGTCTCAAGTTTATCCTTCTTTATGGTAGATTAGTACTCCACTGTATAAAAGGACTGCATTTTCTTTTATCTATGGGCACTTGGGTTGTTTCCCCTGGTTTTTAATTAATAGTATTGTTCCACTTTTGGACCCACCTGGAGTTGCATGAGTTTTACCTAGCTCCTTTGGCCACCAGGGGTTGTAAGTGACAGGATTCCATGGGGTGCTGGCCAGTAGTCTCTGGAGGATGCCCGTTCTCACCAATGAAAGTGGGCGTCTCTGAACCGTAGCAGAATGCTTCCCTCTACTGCCTACCTCCACTCCCACTTTGAACTCACTCTGGGCCTTACGGAGAAGAGTAGATTTATGTAACCAAATGTAGACGTGAGGACGCGCCTGTTTTAAATGTATAAAGGGAAATAAGGCCTGGTTGCAGGAGTCCCTCTCTGGGTCCTGCTTGTGTGCCATGGTCTGTGCTGGGCACCTCTTCGTGGCAACTCACTGGCTCCTCCTAACACTTTCCCTGGGCGAGGAGACCTGTCTTTAGAACTACTTAACTCAGAGGGGACTGGTGCTCATGTCATTAACGTGCTTTGTCCAGGGGCACACAGTTGGTGTGTGGCCAAGTCCTCCCTCTTCACTGTCCTCTGGCCTTCTCCCCTCTCTCTCTCATTCTGCCCTCCTTGCTGTTCCTGGTTTCTTTCTGGACCATATGTCTGATCTTCCCTCTGCCTACACTCTCCTCTCATTCAGGCCTGCACTCCAGTGTCACCAAGACACGGTTCCTGACTCCCCCAGCACCCTACCCCAGTGTGAGGGAGCAGCTTGCCAGCTTGCTCTGCCCTTCCTGTGTTTTTTCTCTTAGCACATTCAACATTTATGCTTTTTTAGCATCTGACCATCCCACAAGAAATATGAACTCTACAAGAGGAAACACTTGGCTCATTTTGTTCACTGCTGTATTCTTCACCCCCAGAGCAGTCCTGTATACAGGAGGCACTCCAAATGTATGTCAGGTGGGCGAGTGAGCTATTGAGTGGGTGGGTGAATTAAATGGGGACTCTCAAACTCAACCCTGTCTGACTTTGAAGCCCATCCCCTATACACCCAATTGCCTTCTTCCTGTGTCCCCCATCTCTCCTGAGCCTGATTCAGTGGGAGTTTCTCCCTAGATGGGTCTCTGGTCAGGGTGTCAGAAGGACCTGAGTCGTTTTGAACAGTTCACTTTTTGTCCCTGAGCCTCAATTTCCACATGTATAAAATGAGACTGTTGAGTCAGGCAATTCTTAGGGTCCCTGAAGCTTTAATTTCTCAAAATCTGGCTCCACTGCTGAGCATAGTCACTGGGCACAGAACTTCCTAGACAAGATCACAGCCCAGTGCCTCAGTTTGCATGATTGGGCCAGCACTTTGGGTCTTGTGAATCCACTGGCATGGAGGTCCCTAAGCCCCGCCCTGCAATGAAGTCTGCTACTGTGCGTCAGTGATGTCGTGAGGAGAAGCCAGAAGCTCATGCAGCTCTGAGCATGGCCCTATGGTTGCCAGGATGCTGCTATAGCTGTCATTCTCTTGCTTTTACAGAATGTGCTAATTTTGTCCTTGAGTCCTTCTAATCTAGAGTAGTGCTCTTTTCCCCCAGCCCTTTCCCGTGTGGGTGACTAGTGCTGCCATTCACTGGGCTATTTATGGAGAGACATGTGCTCCAATTGGTCAGCATCAGGATAAATTCCGGTGCTGAAGGTGTGGCTCAGCGGTGGAGTGCATCCCTAGCAAAATACACGCACACACACATACACACACACACACGTAGCGTCTACAGACTGGCAGGAATTTCCCTTGTTTCTCTCCAGTCATGGTTTTATGATCAGCAAATCAGTTCTAATGCACTGCAGATTGTTCTGATAAAATCTTGTTCTAGGCAGAATAGCAGGAGAGCGGCTCTGAGCCATGGCACCTGAGCAACTTTGGTCTGTAAAGGGACCCCAACACTTCTTGGTTCTAGCCTTTAGTAAAAGCTCTCATTGTGAGCTGTGGGGAGGATAGGGTGTCCAGACAAGCAGCTCTTGGATATCGCTTAGGTTTACTCCCTTTGAGTGCCCGGGTCGGTGGCCTGCTGTGTGTGCATGGGGAGAGAGTGCTCACCCTGATAACCCAGGCACAACTTTTGGGGTGGCCTTCACTTGGGGTACCATGAGGAATATAGCAAGACTAGAGGGAAGCTGAGAGGCCTGTAGACAGTCAAGTGGCACCTTGGGGCACCCTCCAGGAGAGTGGAATTCTGGTGACATATTGTAAAGTGTCTTCTCCATACATATCCAGCCTTCCCAACAGCTCCTTGTGGGGAATTCTAAGGTCTTTAGACAGGTAGACTCTGTCCAAGTTCCTCCCAAGCATAAGATCTGACTCTTCCTGGGGTGAGAGGGGACAGCTGGAAAAGACTCACTGGTGCCCTTGGATGAGGAGAACCAGGAAGTGTCACCCGCTAATGTGGTCCATGGCCTGGGCAGGGGAGGGAGTTCCACAGACCAGCACGGACAGTCACCCCACTTGCTAGGCCTCATAGCTTCATCACCTGTGTAATAGGACCTGGGCGACCAGGTCCCCTAGAAGGCCATGTCTTTGCTGGAGTCAGCAAGGAGGCCTGTCTGGGTCCAGGCCAGCAGAAAGGGCAGTCCTGTGCCCTTCTGCTGCGCACCAACCTTCCCTGTGCTGTTTAAGTGGCCAGACATATGAAGAGGAGAACTCACAGCAAATCCAGCTTCCAGAGACAGCTCGTTACTTTAATAAAGTAATTACAGAGCTGGCTAATTTACATCCCTAGAAAGATGCAGGGCAACTGCAGGCTGGGGTGTGTGTGTTTAATTTTAAATCCTCCAACCTCCCCTTAATGAGGAGGTGCTTTGAAATATAACAGCATAGAAGGCTTCTTCAAAGAATTCATTTTTTTGGTGCTTTCTTTCTTTAAGGGAAAGCGTGAAAGATAAATGAGGCCTGGCAGGAGCAGGGAAGGGCTTCGCCTCCCCTGCCCATGTTGTGCAGACGTTATCTGCTGTAAAACTGTCGCTGAAGGATGGAGAACCAGCTCTTGGCTGCAGTGGCCCTCAGATAATGTCAGTGCAGAGCAATAACCCGGGATTTTTGGCACTGAGCAAACACGTCTAGGCTGTGGTGCCAGAAGCCTTAGCTGAGCCTGCTTAGCAGCTCCTGCCAGAGAAATAAAAGGGCCTCAATAGCTAGTGTCCAAAGGCCCCACAGTGAGGGCTCTAGAGCTTTTTTCTTTGTGGGATATGGGGCAGGGGGAGACTTGGGGGCGGGGCTGGGGGCTATAAATGCTGACGATCTACTGAACCACCTAGAAATCCTATAAAAATGCCAAAAATGTTTCAGCAGGCCTAAGTTAGGCTTGAAGTTAGGAATTTCTATCAAGTTCCTGGTGATATTACTGGCTCTTGGAGAGCATTTTGAATAGAAAGACCCTTGAGAAGGAGCCCGCCAGGTAGTTTTGGCTGAATAGAACACAAGGCAAGGGAAGGGGGTCTTGGCCACAGTCATGGCCACCCTGGAAGGGGAAAGCTAAGGGGATCTCCAAAGAGTTTTTAATATTCTAGTTTCTGCAGTACAGAAGAGAGTAATATCTTGGTGGGTTTGGTATATTATGGTTTTACCCCCATTAGGTTTACCTTTCTGATGATTCTCAGGGAAGGACTCTGGGAAAACCAAGTGTGTAGACTCTGAGCTCCTCAGTGGGCACCTTGATGGGGAAGGGGGATGAGGGGTGAACATTTGAGGCCCCTGACAGCCTCAGAGTGCGCACAGGGAGTTGATCTGAGTTATGTCTACTCTGGGCTCCCCAGTTCCCTGGGGAGCTCAGCTAATGCTCTCCTTCCCGCCTGGTTTTACAGGTCACTGGATGAGAAAAACCTGACAGCGGCTCAGTGCCACCTTCTCTGTGTGCTGGGGAGCAGGGCTGCACGGCCCCAGTGGCACCCATGCCGAAGAACAGCAAGGTGACTCAGCGTGAGCACAGCAACGAGCATGTCACTGAGTCTGTGGCTGATCTGCTGGCCCTCGAGGAGCCCGTGGACTATAAGCAAAGTGCACTGAATGTAGCTGGTGAGTCAGGTGGCAAGCAGAAGGCTGCAGAGGAGGAGCTGGACGCAGAGGACCGGCCAGCCTGGAATAGCAAGCTGCAGTACATCCTGGCCCAGATTGGCTTCTCCGTGGGCCTCGGGAACATCTGGAGGTTCCCCTACCTGTGCCAGAAAAATGGAGGGGGTAAGAGGTAGCCCTGATTGCAAATGGGTGTCCTGAAAATGGGCTGGGCTTGGGGGTGAAAAGGAGCACTCTTTTGCTGAGGTAGCTTACATAAGTGGGAGCGTAAGATTCCAGAGTAAGACCAACAGAATAGTCATGATGGTGGCTAATGCCTCTCTAGAGGTGTGGGCCCTGATGATGAGACTGTGGGCGGTGCACCCAGAGTGCCTGGGCGCAGATCCCAGCCTGGCCAGTCAGCTTTGGGACCTAGTCCAAGGGGCTTAACCTGTCTCTCTGTGCCTCCTCCATAAAATGGTGATGATAATCATTCCTCTTCACAGGATAACCAGAAGGATTCAACGAGCTGTACGCAGAACCCAACTCATAGTAGCGAGCAGCTGTTGGCCATTATTATCAAATGCTTACTGGGTGTTGGCCCTATTCTAAACACGTAAGGGAAATTAGACCCAAAGACCTCAAATGCTGTTGCTTGAGCATCAGGGAACAACTGAAGCAACACTTTCATGTGGTCCAACCACTGAATCCCCCCATCACCCTTATGTAGAGGAGGAGCCATCACCATCCTCACTTTAGAGATGCAAAAGTGAGGCACAGATTAGTTAGGCGACTTGTTCAGGGTCATGTGTGACCAAGAGTTCAGCAAGTGACAAAATCAGGGCTCAACCTGGACCGCCTGGCTGGAGCCTGGGCATTTCACAGCACACCCACTGCCTTCCCCGTGGGGGCCTCATGCTGTGCCTGGGTACAGGTTCCTCTTAAGGATCTCGCTGTGTCAGGTGCCAGACCACCACCGCCACCACTTTGGCCCCCAGGACAAGGAGAAGCCCTCCAGCATTGCCTTTCTAACACCTAACACCTTTGGAAGCCTAGAATTTTCCAAAGGCGGCCTGCTTTCAAACATGGGACAAGTTATTGAAGAAAAACAAACACCCACTAGCCTGGAAACAATGACATTTCCAATCCCAGACCTCTGCTCTGAGAAACCCAACTAGCAGGAAATTTTCTGGCTCCTGAGTTCCCTGCCCTCAGACCACCACACTCCAGCCCCAAAACTTTGCCATGATTTTAACCCCACGTGTCTCCCTGCTCCAGAAATTCTCTCCATGCACCCCCTCCAGAAGACACAACCCGATTCAGGGCCCTTGCCCCCCTTTCCTGGGCACATTCTCTGCCTCTTTCAAAAGGCAAGGCCTGACTGAGACTTCTTTTCCTTCCCAGTTTTTGTTGAAGGATAGGGTGGGATACTGCCCACCTGAGCTCTTGGGGACAAGTTATACCATCTTTCTATCCTCACACAGTATATTTGCCACATGGTCGCCTTGCTTGAAAGGTCTTTTTAAAATTTTTCTGTAAGTAACTGCCAGCCAGAGCTTTTGGTTCTGTTCGGCGTGGTTACTGTGTTGATGTAAGACCAGCCCAAAGCAAGATATAAACATGTGGATGCTTTCCTTATGCCTTGTGGGATGTTAAGAAGAGTCTGAGGTACCCAAAATGGTTTGGAGGACACATGGCATTTAGAAACTTACTTAGGAACCTTTAACTTGACTTTTTTCTGGCTGAGGTGATCAGCATTCTCTGGGCACTTGGTGCTGAATCACAGAGTTTCTCTTTCCACCACCATGACACACACACACACACACACACAGTCACATGCGCATGTGCACAGCAGTGTTCTTGCCTACTCTATTCACAGCATCACCAGGCAATCACCATGGCACCAGACAGCCAGAAGCAGTCCCAGAAGAAAACCACGCTCAGCTCTCAGAGGCTGCACTCACAGTTCCACGTTCCTGCCTTCATTCTTCTGTCCTCTGATTCCTGAAGTCCCTTTTTATCTGTACTGTTAGCATCCTGTATCTTTTTTTTTTTTTTTTTTTTTTTTTTGAGACAGGGTCTCACTATGCAGTTCAGGCTGGCCTTGAGCTCATTAGTCTCGAACTTGCAACAATCCTCCTGCCTCAGCCTCCTGAGTGCTGGGATTACAGGCATGCGCCACCACACCCAGCTACGATCCCGTATCTCACAGGCTTTATAATAAGTCATTTTAAATGTTTAGAAGGAGGCAACTTATCACAGGAAGGAGACAGCTGTTGGCCTGAGAGTTGGCACCATGGTTTAGAGCCATGCATGATCCAAGCATGCTTTGCTTAATTCTGGATGGGAACTCTGAGCTCTGCTTAGCTCTGTCAGTTACTGGCAGTTTCTTTTTCAGCATCCTCTTTGGGTTTTTTTGTTTGTGTGTTTATTTTATTAGAAAGATGCAAATGTTCTTCAAGTGCTTACCATAGGTAACTAATTTCCCCCTTACAAGAGTGCTAAGTGATAGGATTGGGCTTGAAGTATATGAAATGGCATTTCTGTAAGTCAAAAATGGTCAAATATCAGTTCCATACAATGCTACCCTAATATTTTTATCCTCTTCTTTATACAAGTGATAAAATAACAGCACAGAGAAAGCAAGTAATTTACTCTAAGCCATATAACTACTTACAGAGCCAAGAGTCAAGCCTGAGAGGTCTAGCTTCAGGATCTGGGTCTTGGCCCCTTCTTAACCCACATCTCAACAGACTGGGGCTAAGGGTCTTTAAAACCCCATAAATAAACTCAGGGTTTTCCAGAAGGGAGGCACAGAGTGTAACTCTAGACCTAAACTGTTCAAGATCCAGGGAATCTCAGAGTCCAAACTCCGCTTGCCTATGGCCACATTGTGCTGAATTTCCTAATTCCCTGTGTGGTGTTCCCAGCTGTTCAGATCTGAGGCTCCAGTGCCTACTGGAACATCAAAAGAGATCTAATTGTGTCCTCAAGGTATGTTTTGTAAAGTGGAAGAGGAAGGTCATGCATTTCCAAGTGATTTTAGCAAGGGTTGTTGTACAAAAGTACCTGTGCTTAACTACAAGTTCTGTACACATAGACTACACACAGCTCCTTGAGCACTCCGGTCAGCTGGACCTCGGTGTGGGCAAGAGACCTGCAGCCAAAGTCAGCATCCTGCAGGCCAGCTGAAGTGGACAGGGCCTGAGTGGTGGGAGGCCAGGGTCCAGTCTTTGCCACAGGATCGCTCTTGTACAGCTCCTACCTGGAGTCTCTACCCAGTTCTTTGATGGGGTGGGGAGATAGAAGCATCCATAGAAGATGCCAGCTGTGTTAGCTACTTTTTTCTCAAAATACCTGACACCCAAAATTAAGGAAGTAAAAGTTTATTTAGCTCACAGTTTGTGGAGGTTTCAGTCCATAATCAGTTGGCTCCAAGGCAGGGTGGCATGGCACAGGTGCAATGGTTCAAGGCGGTAAAAGACAGCAAAAGCAACAACAAAAAAACGAGGAGAGCAAGCCTCTTTTCCTCCCTTATATTATAAGCAGGCTACCCCCTGTCCCAGGGCAGGTGTAGCACTCACACCATCTCTGTGCCCTCCTCTTGTACAGGATGAGGATGTTTACACAGTGAGGACCCTGGGCCTCTGCTGCTTTGCTTAGTTAAACTTCTAAACTTCTCAAGTTGACACAATGAACAACATTCTAGAGCGGTAAGGGCATGTCCTCTGCTCGCTAAGATGTAGAACTGCTGAGTTACTTCATTAAGCTTCTAGACTTAAACTGACACAGTATCAACCATTATACCAGCCTACTTTGCCAACACCTTGACATCCATCTGCCTGCCCATCTTGCCCCATCCAAGTGCCCTTGGACAAAATACAAAACCAATGGGGCTATTTCCTTTTACCTTCCCACAGCAGGTCATGTCCACCCATATGAAAGACTTGAGTTAAAGAGAGACCCAAGGGTCTACACTTGTGGTCCTTTAGGCCCTCCCTCTGTTGAGCAGCATGATGGGGCTGCCTGTTAATGATACACTGAATGTGTGTGTGGTGAATTAGATGCTGGTATAGGACTCAGTGGGTTGCTTCCCCTGGCAGGCTTTCCTGACAGTTCCAATTGGACCCCAGCCACTCCTTAGACATCCGTGTGGTCAGTTGGCCCTGGGTAACAAGTCTGTGACGAGTGGGTACACGCAAGTGCTGATACTGCTCATGTGTATCCAAGAGTCCTGCCTTCCTGCGTCTATGCCTTCTGTTACTCTAGTATTGCCCCCTCCCCTTGCCTGGCATAGAGGAGATCTGCACTAGGTATCTGAATGTTGCCAAGTGCCAGGTTTTATGCCCAGGAGATGCCCAATCCCCAGTGTTCATTGGCAGATTGGGCACATGTAGGGGGGCTTCCAGGTGGCTGGGCGTGCTTCTGGAGACCTCTGACTTGTGAGGCTGGTTTGGAAGTGTTGGGTGACCATCAGGGCCCTGGTGAGCAGGGCAGGCCTGACATGGTTTGACACTGGCTGAGAGCGCTGCTAACAGGACTAGGTTGCTGGCACAGCTCTCAGTGGGGTGCACTCGCCCGTGTCTGGATGTGGCTTTAATTCTCTTGCTAAATGCCCTGTCACTTAGAATTGAGGTGATGTCCACAGTGAGATTTAGGCAGCAAGATTAATTTATCATCTGGAATCTTTAGCGAGATCTGTTCTATCCTTTATGATCCTTCTGACTGTGCTTTGCTGAACAGCTAATTTTGCTTCCGTTCCTCCCAATTAACTGTGGATTAATGGCAGTGCTGGTCAGACCCGCTCTCCTTGGAGGGTTTCCAACCTGCTTCCCCGGAGCTGCCCAGATTGCTGTGTCAGCATCTGGTTCAGATGTGGGCAGGCTCGGCCTGTGATGGTGTATGAGCGGGGTCTGTGCTGTCTGCCCTGTGAACGGGAAGAACGTGGACAGGTGCCCACAGAGGGTCTTCCGAGGTGACTGTGTCTGTCTGCTTGTACATGTGGATCTCTGAGAGGCACAGAGGTATCGTCTGTCTCTGAACCTAGTCTGGTGAGCAGGAGGCATTGATACATGAATGACTCCTCCTTTAGCAGTCAAGGGGGTCAAAGAGAAGGAGAGTCTAGATGGGTCATTATGGGGTAGGTCACAGGCATGAACCAGGCTATTCACAGAGGAGGCGTGGGGACAGTGTGCAGCTGATCCAAGATGTGGCAGAGACTGCAGGACATACTGTCACCCTTCCTCACTCTGCTGTTGTGTTGCATTCATCCTCTGACCCCTCTCCCCTCTCCCCACAGGTGCCTACCTGGTGCCCTACCTGGTGCTGCTGATCATCATTGGCATCCCCCTCTTTTTCCTGGAGCTGGCTGTGGGCCAGAGGATCCGCCGGGGCAGCATCGGTGTGTGGCACTACGTGTGCCCCCGCCTGGGAGGCATTGGCTTTTCCAGCTGCATTGTGAGTCCAGGGCTGGGGGCAGACATTAAGTAGGAAACGGGATCTACTGGGGGAGCAGATCACCAGGTCGACAGGCCAGAGTTCTGGGCCGAAACAAGAATGGCGAGGGAACCTGGGCCAGCTGGTACAGTTGCTGTTCCAGGGCCACGGTCACTATATTTCCTAAACTGAGTCAACATGTGCTATTTGCCATTGGTGCAAAGGGAGGAAAGCTGGGCATGTTCACAGAGCAGCCCTGGGACATCTCAACCAGGGTTCTCTGGAGATGTGAGGACCATCTCAGATACCCATCTCTGCTTACCAGCCCATCAGCTCCCCACAAGAGTGGTCCAGCAATCGCTGCTACTGCTGCCTGAGACAGCCAGGCCCCCACAAGGGAGCTCTCCATACCCAGATTGGATACAGCAAGTCCCTGCTGATAAAGCATTGCTTTTAAAGAAACCCCTCGGGTCCTCCCTGAGAGTCCATGTACTCTTACTTTAAATAGAATTCTCCCAAGCTTAGTCATTGTGTTTCCAAGAAATGAAAAGTGATCTCTTTCTAGAGTCAGGCTACTAATCCTACCAAAGAGAGAGCAGCATCCTGAGAGAGAGGAGGACAGAGGAAATCAGTAGTCCACAAAATCTCAAAAAGCACAGTTGCCTAGGGCTATTTTCCATAAGGGCAAAACCTGCTCCTAGCTCAGGACCTTCTGCAATGGTCTTGGGAGCAGCTCCACTCAGAATCCCGAGTCCTTAGGAAATGACAAGAAAGGACTTCAGCTATCTTAGAGGAATTTCAAACTGCAAAGGATTAACGTTTTAGGAGTCTAAAAGTATTCAAAAGATAAAACCTTCATAACCAAAGAAATCTTTTGTGGGTCTCCTGAGTTCCTTTACCACTGCACGTCTGTGTTCTAAGGTGTTGCCTTGTGCTGCTGGCCTTGGTTGGAGTGGGGGTGGGGCGGCATTGCCTGCAGTCTCAGTAACCCTGCCCTGGGCCTTGTCTTCAGGTCTGCCTCTTTGTCGGGCTGTATTATAATGTGATCATCGGGTGGAGCATCTTCTACTTCTTTAAGTCTTTTCAGTACCCACTGCCCTGGAGTGAATGTCCTGTCATCAGGAATGGGACCGTGGCAGGCAAGTGTGGGACCCTGAGGTACCCTAGTTGGGAACTCCAGCCCGCCCTATTTCAGGAAGGGGTCTACACAGATTAGGTGCACAGATTAGGAAATTCATGGACTCACTGTGTCACCTTGGGCACTTTAACAACCCTAGCCCCCTTTTCCCTTTCCTCAGTGCAATTGATCTCTTTTTGGCCTATTCCACAGGGTTTCATAGGGCACTGGGTAAAATGATGAGTAGGAAAAATGGGGAGTTGTGGCTTTTGTTTAGGTGTTCTGAGCTACTCTGTGTTATTCTAATACCACATTATCTGGGAATGACCTTAATTTGTATGCCAGTTCCTCGGAATGCTGGGTGATTATAACCCACTTCACAAATGGGAAAACTGAGGTCCTGAAGCCACTTTCCCATGTTCACGCTACCCATTTAACCAGTGATCTGGGATAAAAATCCACATTTCCAACTCCTAGCTCAGGACCTTCCCCCAAGGACCTGTAGTCCAATTCAACCTGGCCCTTCCTACCTTCCACAGGTAGACACAGGCAGGAGATGGCATGGGTGGGAATTTAGCCAGGTATGTGTGTCCTGAAGACTCCCCCAGGTCCCATCATGGGCCCAGGACTGGCCAGGATCTGCTAGATTATGCCTAGTCCAGAATGAGCACAACCCCTTCTGGAGGCACTCCCTCGCCACCCCTCCCCCCTGCTGTCAACACTGAGGCCCTGGGACTTTGCTGTGGTTTCAGTGGTGGAGGCAGAGTGTGAGAAGAGCTCAGCCACTACCTACTTCTGGTACCGAGAGGCTTTGGACATCTCCAACTCCATCTCTGAGAGTGGAGGCCTCAACTGGAAGATGACACTGTGCCTCCTTGTGGCCTGGAGCATTGTGGGCATGGCTGTCGTCAAGGGCATCCAGTCCTCCGGCAAGGTGAGTTGGGGGAGGGTAGCAGAAAGATGCAGAAGGCTGGGGCTGGATTTCCTATTCACCAGTGTAGGGCCCTTCAGGTGGACTGGACTGCGGATGGCTCAGGAATGGACTGGCCCCCGGGGATGGGAGGCTGCATGCTGCAGTGTCGGTCATTGCAGCCCTCCAAGTGTGATGTGAGCTCACTGGGAAACCACTGCCCTGGCCCCATCTGCCTCTGTGCACAGAAAACTCAGGCCTGCTCTGCAGACATTAATGAGAAGAAAAAGTAGAAATATTGGCCCAGGGACCTCTGTCTAAGTTCTGGCCCTCAGATTCCCAATCAAAGCCCTCAAGTAAGCTGCTCTGAGCGATTTGGGATGAAAACCTTGAGGTTGCCATGTCCATAGCTAAAGGGCTGTGTGCACAGGTGGGTGCTCTGACTGAAGGGGCCTCAGAGTCCTGGAGGCAGCTCCCCAGTGGTTCAGCTCCCCAGTGGTTCCGTCCCTGAGGTGCTGTGCAGCCGCCGGGCCCCGTGCACCTTCCCCTGACAGCTCCAGTCCCTCCTGAAGAAGGGCCCTTTCTTATTTGTCATTTTTCCATATTCATGGATTTCTGGAAATAAGGAAGATCCTGCAGCCCTGTCTACTCACTCTTAGGTGAAGAAACAGCCAGAAAGGTGAAGGGACCTCGCCTAATATCTAGCAACCGGTCAGTCTCAGAGCTGGAACTGGGGCTCCAGGTTCTTCACTGATCTTGACGAGGCAGGAAGCTAAGCTCTGGAACGGTGGTGTCATCCTAGCCGCTGACCTCCCCGCTCTAGAGGCCAAACCAACAGCTGACGCTTCACTGCACTTGTCAGGATTGCCACATATATGCACACACTTTGTCCCCAACCCTATGAATTAGGAGTTATTACACCTGTTTTAGAAAGACAGAAATGGAGACACAGTAAGGTTAAGTAAATAACGAGAGGCCACATAGTTGGTAAGTCGTAGAGGCAGGGTCAGATCTCAGTCTGTTAGCTCTGAACACACACCCACTTGGTCTCTACGCCATTTGTCACGTGGCCCCGAGATGTGTTTCAGAGCAGCAGATGTTTGCAGTCTAGGCTACAAGACCTAGGCCTCTTTCTGATGGTCTTTGGGGCTTTGTCTATGTCCTTCTATCATAGGAGCTCTAAGGACAGGGAAGTTCTCTGAAGGGTCTGTTGGGAAAATGAGGAAGGACAGCACAGGGGTCCCTTACCTCTTGGCAGCCACTAGCCCACCCCACCAGTCCTTAGGCAGTCAAGCCCCAGGCACGGCCATGCTGGCTCCAGCTTGTCCTGTTCCTGCTTCCTCCTGGGCTAACAGCCGGGTGGGTGGTGGGTTTAGCCCTGTTTTCCACTGCCTGATACCAGAAGAGGTTCTTATGGCCCGCTGTGAACAAGGAGGGGCATGCCAGCTGCAAGAAGGGCTCTGCTGATACTGGCTCCCTGTCCACCCTGCAGGTGATGTATTTCAGCTCCCTCTTCCCCTACGTGGTGCTGGCCTGCTTCCTGGTCCGAGGGCTGCTCCTGCGAGGGGCAATTGATGGCATCCTACACATGTTCACTCCCAAGGTAAGAACTGTGGCTCCCACCTGCTGGAGAACACGGACAGGTCCAAAGAGCCTGGTCAGTTTCGTGTGGTGTAACATACACCTGGCACCTGCTGTGTGGCAGGTGTCCTGCCAGGCCCTGGAGGGGTGCGTAAGGGAAGGACCATGAGCTCTGCCCTCCAGGTTCCAAGAGGAGGGATATTACATCAGTTTGAGTGGACTCAGAAAAAACATCAGGAAAGAGGCGACATCTGAAATAAGCCTTAGGGAGCAGGTGGAATTTCACTGTGTGCCAGTAAGACATCATAGTCACAGGGAATCATGTGAGCAAGGGTTTGGAAAAGCTCTGAACATTCCTGAGGAAATGGGGAGGAGGTCAGGTTTGGCTGGGACATGGGGTGGGTACAGGGAGCATCATTCACTCATTTACTCATGAAGAGTTTTCATTTCACGGATCTCTGACAGTAGGAACCAAGATGATATCTACAAAAGGAGAGTTTCCCCTAAGTGCCAGTTTGGACCATAATCCATGGCACAAAGTTGCTACTATACTAACTGTAATAGGCCACAGGGATAGTGATTTAACCTTATGGAACCTGTTCACTCTTCCTCTCCATTCTCTCAATAGCCCTTGAGGGAGACGAGCAGGATCTGTGTTCACATTTCACAATAGGTACAACGAAGGTACAGGAATTCCAAAGATAGGTGTCCAACTTTCTTGAGGGTAGCTTCTTAGAGAACACTGGACAGAGCCAGCATGGATCAGTCCACTGGGAGATAAACAAATTTCAAGTGCAAATCAACATGTCTTTTCATTTGCTCCAAGCAATATATGTTAATAACCCCAGCTAGTGAGCTGATTAGTAACAGCCAGCAGGGACCTGCTGAGACTCCAGCCTGGGGGCTGAGGGTCAGAACTTGGCAGGCTAGCTGGAGGCCACAGTGATTGACAGTTCCACCTAGCATGTGTACAAAGGCGCGCGCGCGTGCGCGCGCGCACACACACACACACACACACACACACACACACACACACACCTCTTTACACAGACTGTTCACACACAATAACAAAAGAACTTGGTCAAACAGGGCCTGAAATCCCTGTCCCTCCTGACTCCCCTGCTATGTTGCTATGAGTAGGCTCCTGATATCTGGAAAGTGGCCGTGGCCATGGTACATACCACCCACAGCCCCCACACAGTGCGCAGTGGCCCCAGGCATCCTGAGATGGAACGACCTGAGGTTCCTATATGAGCACCACAAAGGCCCACTCTGTGAGGCACTAGGTGACTCTCTGGAGGTGTGAACGTACACTCCAGCCATGCTGCTGGCTGTGGGGTCATTGCAAACACAAGACAGCTGAAAAGGAAGAAAATATGGCAACCTGGTTTCTTTTGGGTAAGTGACCATGAGAAGAAAGCAAACTGCTCTTATGAATTGCTTCAGTTATTGTCTAGAATCATGATCAACAGTGTTCACTTGAGTTTTTGAGCTTTTGGGGAGAACTATATGCTCTGGAGATGTTCGTCAACGTGGAGATTACAAAGATCTCCAAATAGGCCTCTTGATGGTGTTAAGGGATCCCTGAGGGATCAAATGGAACAGATTCATTGAAGTCAGCCACTGGCTCCAACGCACAGCGCTGCTCCCTACTGGATTCAGACCCTCTTTAAAACATCTCTTTAATTATTCAGTATCTCAGGCTGTAAACCTATATCTAGTAATAAGCATTCCTCAGAAATAAAATACTATAGAAACCATTAAAGAGCCCGCATAACCCTTCCTGATCCCATTACTTTCCTTTCCAAAGATAAACACTGTCTTAGTCCACTCCTGCTGTTATAACAAAAGTACTTTAGACCAGGTAGGTGGTAAGCAATAGAAAGTTATTGCTTACAGTCCTAGAGTCTGGAAAGGTCAAGATCACTGCACCAACAGCCTTGGTATCTGGTAAGAACTCACCTTCTGCTTCAAAAATGCTTTTCCTTGCTGTTCTTCACATGATGGAAGGGCAGGTGAACTCTTCTGAACCTTTTTAACAGGTACACTCATCCCATTTACGGGAGTAGACCCCTTGTGACTTAACCACTTCCTAAAGGCCCCAGCTCTTACTGTATCACACCAAATACTAGATTTCAACTCCAAATTTTGGGGGAGAACACCAATATTTAAACCGTAGCAGCCATTATCCTGAATTTGAGATTTATCCTGCTTATATATTATTTAAAATTTGACAGGTTGGGGATATAGCTCAGTGGCACAGGCACTGGCCTAGCAAGCACAAGGTCCTGAGTTCGATTCCTGGTACCAAAAAAAAATTTGTTATACACATATGTGTATCCATAAACAATATGTAGCATTTGTGTATACTCTTAAACTTTATGTAAGTGGCACCATAATATATATTCTTATTCTACCAAATATATATATATATATACTTTTATTTTTGTTTAAATTGCTTTTGAATGCATATATACACTACATCTATTTTTGCTGCTATATAATATTCCATCATGATAATAAACTAAAATTTATTCATTCTGTAGTTGATGATCATTTAAATTGTTTCCAGTTTTCACGATTGTAATAATGCTGCAGTAAACATTGCAGGGGTCTCTGTGCACAAGTTTCTTTAGGGTATATATGTTTAAGAGTGGAATTACTTCTCAAAGGGTATGGATATCTTCAGCCAAAATGCTCTGTAAAGTGGTTGTATTTGTCAACACTCCTGCCAGTTGTAAAAGAGAATCCCACTTACTCCACATCTGTCAGACTTCAATTTTTGCAAATATGACGGACAGGAAATGCGAGGAACAAGTTCTGAACAAGAACTGTTTCTTATTCCATTTCCTGAATGTTCAGGAAATTGTGTGAATCTACCTTAGCATTTTCAGAGAGCAGAGTCTTCATGAGTTGAGACTTTAAAAATCAGGTCCAGAAGACCCTAAAGGAGCCAATCCTAAGAACCAGCATGGTGCAACTCCTGCCCCATCTGACTCTGACCTCTGTGTCTGGACAGAGGCCAGGGCCCATCTCGACACCTTGCCCATTGGGAAGTTCTATGGTGCAGCTCCTGCCCACAACCTTACAGGGCTGAGCTGAGCAGGTAGGTGAGGGTTAAAGGGCCTTAGAAGCCAAACTCCTCCATCAAGGTCCATGAACAGTTTGTGCCACTGTTTGCTTGAGACAAGTGAGATCAGCTGGGCCAAAGGTCCTGTCTACAAATTCCTTCGCGTCATCCGCAAAAAAAGTGGGCCCACTCTCAGAAACAGCCATTCCACAGTCTGCGTGGGGCAAAGGACTGTTACAGAGCTGTGACTATTTCACCTCAGGATGAGGGAGATATGAGGGGCCCTGGAAGCCATTTCAAGTTCTTGCCCTAGTGCTACAGAGTGCCCAGTCAGTTGCCCACAGCTGCCCAGGCTGGGCATTGCTCCATTATACACACCACAATGTAAATGATCTTTTTAGGGGTTATGCCATGTGGTAGCCTGGGAAAAATTCAAGAAAAATTTTTGGCCAGAACATCTCAGAACCCATGTAGAAGAAGCAGAAGATTGCTATGGATTTTGCTAAATGAACTAAAAGGTCTTCCCTCCTATAAAGTCCTCCAATACCAGAAGTAATGCAGGTTGTAGGACCTACACTTTGAATCCAGGCCATTGAGCCGCTACTTGGTATGATGACTGCAGTGTGGCCAGGGTACCAGGATAACCCACTAGTGCCTCTGGTGGGACAATAAGTGAGTGATGCTAGTGGCTAATGAACTTGAATTTCCCAGACAGCTTTTCTCCTGATTACTTTCTTTCCATCCGGTTACAAACCCAGGTCAGCATTGGTACCGTGCATACAATTTGCTCAGCATGCCGTGGTTGATTCTAGTGAGTTTTCTAACCATGCAAACTCTCAGAGAATGTTTACTGAAATCCCAACTGATCCTATCCTTTGGCCCAGTAATTCTACTTCTAGGAATTTGCCTTGCAGATGTACTTACGGATACGCAAAATAACCAGTGTACGGTGTTGGTCATTACAGCATTTGTTTTAATAGCAAAAGACTGAAAACACCCCCAGTGCCTAGATTCATTTTTCATTCATTCAGCAGAACTTCACTGAATGTCCTTTAAGCCAGGCACTATCCTGGCTCCTGGAATTCAGCAGAGAACAGGGCAGACAAACTTGCTAGCCCTCGTGGGGCTTTTTATATGCTGGTGGGCGGAGAGAGATGATCAAGATGAAGAATTGTTTACTGGTGTTGCTAGGAAGAAAAGTGAAGCAGAGAAGGAAGTGTTAAGGTGTTGGGCAGAAGAGCTGAGTGTTAGATGGTGTGGCCCAGGAAAGGTTCACTAAGAAAGTGACATTTGAACAGAGACCTAGAGAGGGTAAGGGAGGCCTCATGGAGACTTGACAGTCAGACATTGCATTCCAGACGGGAGGTGGTGAGTGCAAAGGGCTGGAGTTCGGAGTGCCGTGCGCGTTCAAGTAGGCCAGTGTGGCCGGCAAAACGGGAGAGAAGCAGGTGGGAGGGCAGTGCAGTGGCAGATCGTGAGGGTCTGGTAGGCCAAGTAAGAACTTTGACACTTCCTCTGGCTGTCCTGTTTGACAATTCCTGAAGCCATTGGAAAGTTCTGGACCTAGGAGAAGAATGATCTGACCACTTTAAGCGTCTGAAGGAACTGCCGTAGAGAATCTGAGGGGACAGAGGGAGAACAGAGAGACTGCTGGAAGGATTACCCAAATGAGAGGGGACTGGTTTGAGCCCAGGCAGCAATGAGGGTGATGAGAGATGGCTGGGTTGAAGATGAATTTCGGAACCAGAGTCAACAGGATTTGCTTCAGGATGGGGTGTGGGGTGAGATGTGGGAGGGGAAGAGGAGTGTCCGGCTTGACTCCAGAGTCTGTTTGATGAGCAACCAGGAAGATGGAGTTGACATGTACAGAAATGAGGAGGATGGTGGCGGAGATTTGGTAAGGGATATTCAGGCTATTGTTTTGGATGTAACAGGTTATTTTGAAAGTCAAA